TCATGGCACAACTAGTTGATGTAAATTTTTCGTGGCAATTTCATGAATTCATTGATTAAATTGGATCATGACTTAGTTCAATAAGCCTTTCATGTGAGTTTTAAGGCTAATGAGCATATATTTTATTTTCTCTCTTTGTTTCAATTGAGTGTGCCGAACTAATTGATTTCATTCTAGAGCCTGTAACTCGATGCTTGTTGAGACTACACTTTTGATTATGATGCTATGATATGATAGAGGCATTAGGATTAAACCCATTTCCCTTCCCAAACAAATAACCTACCCTTTTTATTTTCCCCTTGTGAACCACTTTGAGCCTTATATCCTTTTCTTTGATTTACCACATTTTTAAACCCAAGCCTATTTTATTTTTCCTCTTTTTGTTACTTTTCTTCAAGACAATGTGAGATTATTTCCAGAAAAAAACCAGAAAAAATTGTTCAAAAAAATACAGTGCAAAATCGAAAAAAACAGTCCAGAAATTTACCCTGTTCGAACAACAAAAAAACCAGTGGAGCTTGGTTTGAACAGTGCATAAATTCAGTGCAGTTTTGATTTGAGTGAGCAAAAAATTCAGTGAAGAAATTTTTTTGGTTCGAGCAGAAAAAAGAAAAAAAAAAGAAAAGAAAAATGAGTGAATAAAGCTTTGAAAAACTTGTTTCGCCTTCCTTTCATTTTTATCTTCCTTTGAATAAATTTTCGGAATAGTCTCTACTTTGTCTTGAATTTTAAAACCCCATTTCTCGACCTTTTCCTACCCGAACCTTAGCCCCGTTACAACCCGTTTTGAAACCCTCTTGATTGTTGCATCATTTTCATACTAAGTAGTGGATATTATATTTAGTTACATGCCTACAGTAATGTGTTGATTAGTTTAGGCTTGAGCAATTCTTTCACCCGAAACACTTGAGCAAAATGAGTGAACCCATGTGAGGAACTAAGTCTTGTATTCTTTGAAATTGATGGATGATTGAAATGCCATGATTGATTTACTCTTAATTGATTATGCATTGCTTGATTGAGCTTGAATTTCGACATTTGCTTGATTGAGTTTGCTTAGAAATCTTAGAAATTCTATGGAATTGAAGTTAGCAACTTGAGTTTTTTAGCATGATAATTGATAAATGCTTGAGGACAAGCATTGAATAAGTGAGGGGGAATTTGATTAGTATTTAAATTATACATTATTTTATGATTAATTACTCCTTAATTATATAATTTTAGTTGCTAACTTGGGCATTTTCATTTATTTTTGATGTAGGACATTGAATTCCGGAAATTATGCTAAGAACAACGAAATCGTGATATCTTTTTTCTGGATTCATGACCGGATTATTGGCCACGACCTGGGATATGACACACCCGACATGGCGTCTAGTTAGCAGTTGACATGGCAACTGATGTGGCGATGACATGGCAAGTGACGTAGTTCCCAGTCAATAGCTTCTAGAAGGACCAGTCAGCAGCTTCTAGAAGATCTGATCAGTAGTGGCGTGGAGAATGAGACTTAGCCAAATTTTTTATTTTAAATTAGGATTTATCTTATTATTTTTTTATTTTTTAAGAATTATGTTTTGTTTTGAATATTATTTTCTAGGTTTTTTAGGACTATAAACACCCCATTGGAGTAAGCCTCTAAGAATCGATTTTTATTTCGAATTCATTCAACTATTGTTTCTTTCTTCCTTTAGATTTATAAAAGTTTTTCTTTCTTTTTACTTTTCAAGTTACTTTATTTTTCTTTCAAAATGCTAAGTATGGTTTCTACCATGCTTAGCTAAGCTTTCTATAGCCAAGGGCTAGAGCAATGGCTCAATTCTAAGTCGTGAGAATCGAAAAGTGCTTCATACACTCAAGGTGATTTCAAAACGATTTCATTTCAAAAAGTGCACGTTGGAATTGAATTTCGATTTTGATTAATAGTTGGGAGGAATGATCAGCCTGCAACACATTCGACTTCCTGTGAAAACACTTAGTGAAGATCCGCTAAGGGAAACTAAAATTGGATTAGATTCTCAATTGAGACGGTAGAATCCGAGTCGGGTTTTTCCAGAATTCAAAAGTGTTGAATTAATAAGCGATTACCGCTATTAACTCACAAAGAGTCGAGATATGAAAAATGATTTTAGATTCTCGATTCATTTGAGAGAAAAACAAGCTATAGGGATTGGGCCCTATAGATTGTAACCAGCGTGAGCCCGAAGGTAAAATCCTATTCGAGGATCGATTTAAATCGAGGCTAAAGCTTTAGCCCAAGGCTGATTTTTACCAATTGAATTTTAGTTTCTTAATTTAATATTTTAATTTATTTAAATCAATTTTATTACTTCACTTTAATTCTCCAAAATCTCCCCTCTAATTCCTTTTACAAATCATGCCTACAACCATATCAAAAGCGAGGAGATCGTCAAACTCCTAGTCCTTGTGGATCGACCCTTACTCTCACTATTCTACTTATTCTTATTCATTTTATTGGGATTAAGGCTATTTATTTTGATATCATAACGATGTGTGTCAATATTTAAATAAGGACTACTCTTTTAAAGGTTGTTCATATAAAGACTCAAACTTTTAAAAATTGATCAAATAGAGAGCTAATGTCCTTTGAATTTGCTCAAATAAATGTTTTATCTTTTAAAATTATGGAATAAAGTTATAATATTTTTTATTAGTTTGAGGTGAATAAAATTAAGTATGTTTTTAAAGACTCTCAATATTTGATAATGAATGCTCATATCCTCCTAGCATATGTGGTGCTCAAACTCAAAAGTTTAATGGACAACAAAAATCTCTTAACCACTGAAGTCGTTTGATTTATGTAAACTTCTAACATTTCTAAATGTACTTAAATAAGATCCTTATGTGGATGATTGATTTGAATGTCAAATATTTACTCCTTTAATGTTTTAAGCTTAAGGGGTAAGAGAAAGAAAAATACGAGGGGGAGAAATGAGTATTCAGCTTATTTTTCAACAATGAGTAAAGTGCATCTTTAGTCCTTTCTCTTTTAATCCTAACTCAAAAATACCTTTATGGGACCAATCTCATTCGATTAGGCCCACATTTTGACTATCGGTGTTAATCACATACTCACATCGTTCCATATATCTCTCGATCAAGTTAGATATGTTGAGTCGTAAATTTGAGTCGTTACGGGGTAAATTTTGAAATCATTCTGTTGGTTTCGAAATAAACAAACCTTAAATTGTAAGGTTTATGCTCTAAACTCTTCTTGATGAATTACTATGCTTTGGACCATCATGTTTGGTAAGAAAGACAAATTAGTGCCTAATTTAATGATTGCTTATTATTTGAATGTTTTCGAGTCGATTTAGTATTGATCGATTCCACTTAAGTTTACATTAATTAATGTGACATCTTTGACCCAATTTTTGACTGAATCAAGTTACGAGTATACATGTTGGTTTGTAAAAAATATTATTACCAGACATAATAATCTTTGTGAAATGTTATGCTCATATTTTTCATGTTTGGTAAGAAAGACAAATTAGTGCCTAATTTAATGATTGCTTATTATTTGAATGTTTTCGAGTTCGATTTAGTATTGATTCGATTCCACTTAAGTTTACATTAATTAATGTGACATCTTTGACCCAATTTTTGACTGAATCAAGTTAAGAGTATTACATGTTTGGTTTGTAAAAAAATATTATTACCAGACATAATAATCTTTGTTGAAATGTTATGCTCATATTTTGTTTTCGAAGAATATTACCAACATTAGTGATTTTTTTTAATCTGAGCTGGACATTAACATGTTGACTACGATACGATAAAATTATATTTTAATGATGTTTACTGGCATCGTTGTTGCTTACAAGTATTGTCTCGACGACATAATATTTCAAACGTTGGCTTGGTGACATAATATTTCAAACGTTGGCTTGGTGACATAATGTAAACCAGATTCGATCCACAAAGTACAACTTAAAATATTCTAGGATCAAATTTTATCATATATCATTCATCATGTTAACTTCTATATTAGACTTAATAGAAAAGGATATGTTTAGAACATATGAATAGTCGCGTGACCATTTTATAACTTTTAAAAGTTGGTGGACTGAACAAAACAACGCCCTATAGTTGAGAGATCATTTTGTTATTTTTAATAGTCATGGGGCTCAACAAAACAACAACCTATAGACAAGGGATCATTTGTGTACTTTACCCAAAAGAAAATATATTATAAGGAAAGTTTGATAAAATTTATTTTCAGGTAGGGGTGAGCGCTCGATTGAGTCAAGTAGAGTGAAAAAAATTGAGTTATTCAAGATGACGAGTCTCATTTTATAACTCAAATTTACTTGAATTTTTTTCAAGTAGAGTCAATTTATTCGAGTTTTTGTTTAAATTTAATTATAAATATTTATAATATTATGATACTTTTGATTCAAATTTAAACAATTTTCTACAACCATACACAATACATATATATATTTATTCAAATTTTTTCATAAATGATATAATATATCATACAGAGTCGAGGGATTCGACTCAAATCCTAAAACCAATATAATAATTACAAAAAATTTGAGTTATTCACCACCATGAAAAATTATTAGATGAATCCTATTCACCACGTCACCCGTTATATTAATCAATAACATTTTTCTATATAATTTTTTAAGATAAATATTCACCTATTTACTACTTGTAAATAAAAAGTGAATATTTATTTTAAAATTAATGTATGTGACTCATTAATATCATTGATGACGTGATGAGTCAGAATTATAAAATAATTTCTCATTGATGAGACACGTTTCTTAATTATTTTCTTTTTCATATTTCATATATAATATATAATAGAAGTTATTTCTGTCATTAACAGTCTTTCTCTCAAAATTAAAAGCCCCCAACTCCCCCCCACAACCCACCAACTTCACCCACAACTTAGTAACCGACCTCCTATTTCCAGTCACCAGTCTTCATCTTGTTTTGGCCACCCAATTTTAGGTGTTCCAAGTAACAAAAAGATGCCAACTTCATCTTCGTTTTTGAGGCAGCTAAGTGTAAAACAAGGCTGGAAATCTAAATCCTGTAGGTGGGAAATGAGCAACAATGACAACAACGTTGTTGGAGGGGGAAAATGTGTTGGGTTTTGTGAGACAACCTTAAGGACTCAGAGAATGGAACAAGGTCGTGTTAACATGTATGGCAATGGTCATGATGATGATGATGGGTTGGTTTTAAGGAAGAGGGTGATGGTTGTGGTGGACCAAAGTTCACATTCTAAGCATGCAATGATGTGGGCACTTACACATGTTGTTAACAAGGGTGATTTGGTTACTCTACTCCATGTTATCTCCCCAATCCCAAAGTGTTCACACTCTTCTTTCCTTTTGCTTGTAAACCTCAGGCAACTCTTCTCAGTTTCTTTTTGCTTTAATTTCTCTTCTTTGAAGGGAAGGGATCAAATCAATCTTTCTTGAAAGAAGATCCTTAGAGTATCCTCTTTCGTTAATACAAACAGAATTTTATAAAATATAATGAGTAAAAGGTTAACATGTCTATTTTGAAATTTTTAGGGACTTAAAAGGTTTTTATTTTAAGAAATAATTTAGGTTCAAGGATCAATTTGTTTACTTTTGAAATTACCATAGACCTAAAATGTGTTTATTCCATAAAAATTTGAGGACATGGTCCCATCCATCTCTCGTACTTCTGTCTCTGTATATAAGGTTCTTATACTATGTACTTTTCTATTGCATGTTTAGTCTCTTAACAATATAATTTGATTTTTTTATTCTTTGAAATGTGTACTTTTTGTCCTAGAGTGTATGAGGTGTATACACGGTTGGATTTGATTTTTGGGTAAAGTATGCATTTAACACATAAACTATCAGTTTTGGTTTATTTTAGTACTTAAACTTTTATGTGTACTTTTTGTCCTAGAGTGTATGAGGTGTATACACGGTTGGATTTGATTTTTGGGTAAAGTATGCATTTAACACATAAACTATCAGTTTTGGTTTATTTTAGTACTTAAACTTTTAATTTTTTTCAAAACTATACCTAATATTTAGGTTTTGTTTCACTTTAGTACACCGCCATTAAAAACTTAATGTGTTTAATTTTTCAAAATATACTAAAATGAAACAAAAACTAAACTTTAGGTATGGTTTAAAAAAAATAAAAGTTTAGGCACTAAAATGGATTAAAACTGATAGTTTAGATAATAAATGATAATTTACCCTTAATATTTTTCTAAACCATCATTTAGTTTTTGGTTTATTTAATTTTATTTATAGAGTTTTCTATTACACCTACTTTATTTCATTAATTTTAAAAGTTATTTTATAAAGCTTTTAAGTTTCTTCATAAAATTTTCATTAAAAAAATATTTTTGAAGTAAATAAAAAACATTAATAATTCATTATTAGTATTTTTAAAGTCATCTTCCTTATTTTTAAGTACAAAATACTTATTTTTTACATCATAAAATAATTAAAATTAATTATAAATAAAATAAAAAAATGATTTCTATCCAATTAGGTTAACCACAATTTTTAAACTTATAAAATGTCTGAACATAACGAATCAATTTTCAGTTAATCAATTTTTGTTGATGAACCTAGTAACATATAAGCGTTAATAAATAAAGTCAAGTCAAATTATTAGTCAAAATTAATAAAAGTAATAAAATTACAAATAGGAACTAAATCGACCAAAACCACATAGTACAAGGACCTTGTTTACAATTTGATCATTATGAAGATTCACGTGGAAAACCGAAATGAAATCCAGGTAGAAGTGGAAACAGTGGCAATCCAAGGGCCAAAGCTGGCGATAGTGATGAGCCAAGTGAAGAAGCTTGGAGTGTCTGTGTTGGTACTTGGTCAAAAAAGGCAATCTCCTTTCTTAACCTGGTAATGATGAATGCCTCCTTTAACCCTCTCTTCTTCTTCTTCAACCCGAAATGATTTCTTCATCATTTATTGTCACTCTCTTTCTCATCTTTTTATTGCAGTCTGTGTGGGAAAAGCGAGAATGAAGAGTTTGTTGAGCAATGTATCAAAAATATAGATCGAAATTGCTTAACTATTGGGGTTAGGAAGCAGAGCAATGGCGTCAGCGGCTACCTTATTAGCACTAGATGGCTTAACAACTTCTGGCTCTTGGCTTAATCTTTTGATATAATGTCGTAAAATATCCCGATATTTGATTAAATAGTCATTTTTAACTCTTATTTTGTTTCAAAATATTTTAGCCAAACATTTCATTTTAGGACAAAAAGATCCCTTACGTCCTACTAAATGATCACTTTGATCGTTATTCCTTTTCTGAGTAATTTGGCCGCAGAGTTTCATTTTAGGATAAAAGACTTCAATTTTGAAGTAATGATCATTTGTTGACCAACAATTTCCATCAATGAAATAGTATTTTTACCCTAAAATAAAACGTTGAAATCAAAATACTTGAAAACATATAGAGATTAAAATAATTGTTTAATCAAACACTATGTAACATTATATCTTTAATTTTATCGAGGCTGAAACTCGTTTATGATATCAACGAACAACAACAATTTTATAACTTTGTCAATGACTCATGACAATACATCCTAAAATAACTTGTGATAGAGTTCAAAGAATATTTTGTAATTCAAATCAATTTGAGGTCTATTTTACAATGAAAATTATGTTAAAAGAATTCCAACTAATGGAGTTATATCACAATCTAATAACAAAATGAACATACTAACAATATATGAGGAATCATTCATACATATATTCCTATATCTGCTACTTATGTGCCTAGACAAAGCTGAAAACAAGAGCCACATTCCTCTAACATGAACAGAATAATTAGATCAGAGTATATGAAAATTAAAAAAAAAAAGTCAGAAACAAACCTGAAAGATCCATTTGTCAATGATTATAAAAGTAACATTAAAACCCCACCATTGGAAGATTGCAAGCAGAGATTTGAAAACACCCGCTGCAAAAATCTCCCTTCTTCCATTTTCAAGGATAGACCGAGGGGATGACGAGGGCAGTTGTCCCTTTAAAAAGTTTAAGTTATCACATATTTTAGATATTTTCTTTATATTTTCTATTGATAATATGCATTCGCACCGAAGATTTAAATAATTTATTCTAAAATATTATAAGTTCACTCCTTAATATAAAATACTAGGTTAGTCCATATCCATTATTATCCTCACTCCCTCTCTCTATCACACAACAACAAAAACACAGATCACCAAATTCAAAACCCAGAATCGAAAACCAAAGATCAACAAAAACTCACCTCAAAATTTTTCCAATTGAAATTTTGTTTATGATTTTGAACAAAGTTCCTAGAAAATTGGATGATCATACACTTTTCATTTGATTTATGACGTTGACTACTTCGAAGAAACCATTTATCATTTTTCCTTTTTGATCTTGGTTGTCTTAATAGTAAAGTGGGAGAAACTAGAAGTTTTTCTTTAATGTGCATTAAACTTCTAAACATAATTGCACCTCTTTAAAAGAAAAATAATGAATAATGTTATACTTTATATAAATTGAATCATAAGATTTTCATACGCGTTTTCAATTAATGGGTAAAGTACACAAATGGTCCCCTGACATTAAGGTATTGCTTTATTAAATCACTCGGCTATTAAAAGTTCCAAAACGGTCCTCCGACTATGGAGCGTTATTTATTGAGTCTCTCAACTTTTAAAAGTTACAAAATAGTCACCCGATTATTCATTATGTTTCAAACTCGTCCTTTTTTGTTAAAAAATTGCCGGCATTCTAAGTTGATGTTAACCTATTGACTGTGATATGATAACATATAATCCTAAAATCTCAAACTGTCATCGTATTTAAGTCATAATGTTAACGTCCAACTAAGACGACCATCAATGTTTTTAACAAAAAATGATGAGTTTGGAAAATAACGAATAGTCGGTGACTATTTTAGAACTTTTAATAGTCGACAGACTTAACAAAGCAACACTCTATAGTCAGCCGATAATTTTGGAACTTTTAATAGTCCATGAACTTAATAAAGTAATACCTTATAGTCGAGGAACCATTGTAATAACCATTTTTTAAACAAAAAAAAACAAATTTAAAATAGGGGTAAACTATAAAAATAGTCCATGAACTTTTAAGGTGTTTGCATTTTGGTCACCCAACTTTTGAAACTTGCCATACAGTCATCAAACTTTTAGTCCATTTCCAAAAAGGTCTCTGCCATTACTTCCGTTAGTTTTTTGCTAACATGGCAGTTAATCTGCCGTCAAATCTCTTCTTCTATTATTGAAAACCCTAACCTTTTGGGAGAATTTATTTTTGTGGCAGAATATTTAAGCATGCCATTGGAGGATTCAAAGCCAATAAGAATGGAGGAACCCGAAGATGATAATGAAGACAAGAAAATCTTGAGTTCCATGATGAAGATAGGGGATAGGAATTTGGTTTCATCTCAAACACCAAGCTTAAGGTCTAATTACCATTACACAGGTAGGGTTGATACTCATGCTTGTGGTAGTGGCAACAATGCTGCAATGTTGCCTAATTACATGGCAGCAACTCAGTCTGCAAAGGCTATAATTAGGGATGGGGCGGGGCAGGTTGGGTTTTTGGCTACCCGACCCCGACCCGAAAATGTATACCTAAAACCCAATCCTGTTCCATCCCAAAAAATTTTAGATTTTTCCTCACCCCGGGCCCACCCTGAATTTTAGAATAAAATCCTGACCCTAACCCGAATATATTATTTTTTAAAATCATTAAACTGATATATTTTATAATTAGTTATTATATTTTAAATGATTAAAGTAATATATTTCATAATAATTTTTATATTTTAATAATTAAATAATATATTTTAATAAAAAATAGAATTCTTAAAATATCAAATGTAATATATATATACATGTCGTGTTGGTGATTTTTCACCTAAAACCCGACCCTGACCAGCCTCGAAATTTTACAACCTATAACCTGCCCTACCCCACCTCGAGCCCTAAATTTATTTTTTAAAAAATTACCCCTATAGGATTGGGTCAGGTCAGGAACCGTATGGTTCGGATATTTTTACCATCCCTAGCTAGAATAAGGTCTCAAAGTGCACCAAGGCAAAGGTCATACATACCAGAGAGGGATCGAAACGGTTTGGCGAGGAAACGACTATCGTTTCCGCTCCCCGAGCTTTATGGTGTTTGGGCGGGATATGGAGGTTATGGTCGCAATTTGAGGAGTCCAAGTTTTAGGAGTGTAACTGAATCACATCTTGAAGTGGAACAACATTCTAACTATTCCTCTTGCTACACCGAGAGCCATGGCTGTGAAATCTCCCCATCTCCAACTAGTGATTTTAGAAGGTGGATGAGGTAATCCTTGTCCTAGTTTCCTTTCATCATTTTCATAGAGATTAGGCAATCAAAGTGTGTTTCATTCTTCATTTTTGTTTCTCTTTTTTCTTTCACCATTTTTAGTTTAAAATTGAAGGTACAAGTGAGGTAAATGTGATGACTGATGACCCTCTTCAATAAAAATTGTATAGATAATCAATTGGAAGTTACTAGTAAAATTCATTTCTTGTTATTCATTTTTTCCCTCTGCCTCTCCTTATCTTTGTCTATTCCAAATAGGCCCACAACAGTAACCTTCGCTGATCGTTATTATTGACCTACAATTTTCTCTTAGAGATTCAATCCATCGATCGATTAAATTAGGGGGGAAAATGGGAGGGGAGAGCATGGGTATGGAGCTGAGGATTTCAGGAAAAAGGTGAGGAACATGTCCGGAGGTCCGTACTGTCGGCCCAAGCACTGGTGTCGCAACACTGCCTTTTCCATGTTCGGCGTCTTCCTCATCTGCATTCCCATTGCTATGAAATCAGCCGAGCTCGAGCAACGGCCTCATCAGTTTATTCGACTGATTCCTTCGCAACTCTGGTGCAAGAACTTTGGGAACAAAGACATGTTTTCTGGTTTGAAGCGCCACTGGGCAGCAAAAAGATGAATAAGAAGAGAGTTGGCGGCAAGTTAACTGTCATGTCAGCAAACAACTAACAGAGGTTACGGCAAAGATATTTCTGAAAACAAACTAAAAGTTCGATGACTGTATTGCAAGTTTCAATAGTTAAGTGACCAAAATGCAAGCGTCTTAAAAGTTTGGGGACTATTTTTATAGTTTACCCTTAAAATAATTATGACTTTTATCTCAAAAAATTTATATTTGTGATGAAATTGATTTAATTTGAATTTGGAGTCGCAATTAATCTTTGAGCTAGGTAGGTCGAATAACTGAAAATGTCAAAAAATAATTTATTTAGAAAAATTATTTTTTAAGACGACTTGGTCTACTTTTACCATAAATTCATTTTTTAAGGATCGAAAGTTATTGCGCGTAGAGAATGGTAAGCACCCCACAACACCCAAAATTAGTACCTAATCGCCCATACTTCATCTTGGTAGTGGAAACAACAATGCTAAAATCGAAAATTATCCCATGACTTATTTTATCGCCCATTAATTAATTTATTTCGAACTTTAAAGAATATTCTTTATTTTGAGAAGAGATAACGAGATTTGCTATACAAATATATTCATTTTATTTCTTCGGGGTCACATATCAGGCATGAATAAAAAATAAATCTAAAAAATAATTATTCATTTATTTTTATTAAAACATACTCGATTGTTTTCAAGTTCATTTTCATTCGAACGTCGTATTGGATCGTATTACCTCGATATGTCACACTTTCCATGATCATCTACGAAATTCATTCTTGAAAATGGATAGGAGTATAAAATAGATGAGTAACTAAGTGAATAGTAAAATGATAATAAAATGGGAATTAAAATATAAAGGATAAAAAAATACTGATGAAGAAATATGTTATGTATTAAAATAAGTAATATCAAATAATTTATCGCCTTTATTATCATTTTTTATCATTTCGCCTTTATTACTTATTTTATATGTTATGTTATTTGATGAAGAAATATACGTATTAAAACAAAGAAATAACATTTACTACATATGTGCACCTAATTTAAAATATAATATATGTATAAGATAAATAAACTAAAACATTAAAATAAAGTTTCATGAAATATATGAAATAAATAAAATTTAAGCATGACCAACATCGTGTAAAAGTTTAAGAGTTGTATTAT